CCAAATCCTACGGTATCGCAGCCTGAGAATCAGTTATGACCTACTTTTTGAAGATCCCCCAAACAGATAAACTCTAATATCGAATCAGATATCGAATTCAAGATATAAGAGCACATACTAATATAAGGTAGAAGAACACAAACTTGAGCTTACTAAAATAGGGAAGCACGATAAATTAAGAATTCCACTCTCAGGCGAGTCGAAACATCAAGAAAAAAACAGCAAATTCACGAGACCACTGGAAATCTAAAAGGTCAGAAATCATTATTCGAGATCAGAGACGAAGCTTTGATTTACGATGGTCAATATGAAAAGAACAAATCGAGAATTATTCAAAAAGTTTTGAGATCATTCATGAGCCCACTATCTTGAATCAGGTACGTGGATTATTCTTCACGAGTTCATTGAGAATCTAAAAAGTTAGAAAGCATTATTCGAGATCAGAGACAAAACTCTGATTTACGATCATCAAATCAAATTCGAATTGAAAGCCTAAAGCTACCTGTCATGAGAAATCCAAAATAGAGAAATCCAAAAGATTCAAAAATTAAATTCGAAACCCAGAGATTAGAATCAAAACTCGAATTTACAATCATCTGAAAATCGAAATCGAGTTACTATCTTGAAGCTACCTCCCTAAAAAACGATATCAAAACGAAAAAACGGAGGTTACTCAAGCCACGAAGAGCAACAAGCATCCCATAAAACTATATAGATCGAAGCATATAAACCAACCTCTCATCATGATGTGTTTGTGTCCCCCAAACCTTCACCCCCTCCCTTATCGGCCCGAACGCAACTCAGCCATCACGTGGCCACTCTCTCAACCATCAAAAAAAAATTAAACAATAAGGACTAACGGACCGTGGATTCATTTTACCCCTCACTTGCCACGTAGCAAGACAAAAACACCGAACCTGCCGATGACCCCTTACTGGTAGTCCGGGGGGAACAGACCTTCCATGCCCTTTGTTGCCCTTCATCACCTGATTCTTTCGTTGGACACGTAACACCCCGCAATTCGTAGCTTTGATGATAACACCCTTCGCAGCCCTTCACAAGAAGCCTCTTCATAGCAACTTTATCCTCTACGCACGATGCATCACCCTCATCACCATCCTTCCCATCATCAACCATTCACCCAAAACCTCTCAACCGCCACCTCACACCACCTCGAATCCACTCCCCTTGGCATCGCGCTGCTCCGCCGCTTGTTGCCGTCCAGCACCGCTCGGTCCGACTACGTGCCGCTTCGCCGCTCGGTGCCACTCGGCCTGACTGCGCGGGTGGGGCGCAGCGCGCCCGGCCGCGCTGCCCCCCCCCCCCCCCCCCCCCCCCCCCCCCCCCCCCCCCCCCCCCCCCCCCCCCCCCCCCCCCCCCCCCCCTCTCGCTCTCTCACTCTCTCGCTCCCTCTCTCTCTGTGTCTCAGCAAGCTATACTAAAAATTCCATGAAAAATCAATAAATGAATTGTTTCGTCAATGGCTTGATCAATTCACAGTAGTCTACCTCGATGACATTCTAGTGTATAGTAAGACACTAGAAGATCACGAGAAACACCTACGGATGGTCTTGCAGAAGTTGCGCGAGGGCATTTTCAAACTGAATCCGAAGAAGTCTGAGTTTGTTGAGCCTGAAGTCTTGTACTTAGGGCATATAGTGAACAGAGACTAAGACCTGAAGAAAATAAGATTACAACAATCAGAGATTGGCCACAACCTAAGCCTATAACGGAACCAAGATCTTTCCTAGGACTAGCTAGTTACTACAGGAAGTTTGTCAGAAACTTCTCCTTGATAGCTGCTCTTATGAGAATATTACTGAAAAAGGAAAAGCCTTGGTTGTGGGATAAATATTGTGAGATAATTTAGAAAGTAAAAGCATGCTCTGGCTCACTACCTTGTCCTAAAGATTGTTGACCCTTCTCTTCCTTTCATCGTTACGACTGATGCAAGTCAGTATGGGATTGGGGCTGTGCTACAGCAGAATGACGGTAAGGGATATAGACCTGTTGAGTTTATGTCCAGAAGACTTCAGTCGAAGAAAGTGGCCAACTCCACCTATGAAAGAGAATTGTATGCGTTAGTTGATGCACTAGATACCTGGAAGCACTACTTGTTAGGGAGGCATTTGATTATCTACTCTCATCACTCTACTTTGAAGTGGATCAAGACTCAGCCCAAACTCTCCGACAAGTTGGTAAGGTGGTCCGCTTTCCTTGACACATTTGACTTTGAGGTGAAAACCATCAAAGGTAAGTCTAACGTGGTTGCAGATGCTTTGTCCAGGCGTGCAGATTTCTTTGGAACCATGGTCTCCTATCTCAATATTGGAAATGAACTGAAAGAACAAATCCGCCAGGGCTATGAGAGTGATCCTATTTTGAGTCCTATCATTGAAACTCTACGAAAGAACCCTGAGTTGTTTCCGGAATATTGATTGTGCGTTCCTCACCTAGAATCAATGAAGAGTTTAATCATTGGGAAATGCCATGATGCGATGTGCGTGAACATTTTGAGTGGAAAGGAGTGAAGGAAGATGCGGACTTGTCTTGTCTGTCAAAGGAACAAGCCCTCACATTAGAATCCGATGGGACTATTGCGACCGCTGCCTATTCCAAGTGAGCCAGGTGAGTCTATCTCTATTGACTTTTGAGCCTCACTGAGAATCGAAACGGCAATAGTAAGGTAATGGTCATCGTCGATGGATTCTCTAAATATGCTATGTTCATTCCTTCGTTTGGTGAAGCTAGAACTGAACTAGTCATTCAAAAAATTCAAATGCGATGGGTTTCTGAGTATGGATTTCCCAAAACCATTGTATCAGATAGAGATGTTCGGTTCACCAGTCTACAATGCCAGAAGTTGATGGAAGTCTATGGAACCAGGTTGACCATGTCGTCAGGTAGACATCCTGAAACGAATGGCCAAACTGAGCAAATGAATCGTCTTTGCCAACAACTTTTCCGAATGTATGTCCGACCTGACCAAATCGATTGGGATGAGAACTTGCCTAAAATTGCTAGTGCCTACAATAACAATATACATATTGTTACAGGAAGAACGCCTAACGCACTGCATAAAGCATGGAAGCCTAGGCATCCCATTGACGCATTAACACGGAACCAGGTTCAAAGGCTACCCCCAGGTACACAAGAGTTCACAATTTTATACGAAGAAAACATAAAAAAGGTTATGGAAAACATACAGAAAGCCCAACTACAAATGATTGAACAAGCTAATGGACATCGCCGACCTTCACAATTTCAAGAAGGGGACTTTGTCTAGGTTAAGTCTAAAGAGTTTTCCTTAGAAGAAAATGTGTCTCAGAAACTGCTACCTGTCAACTACGGGCCCTGGGAAGTTCTCAAAGGAATTGGAGGTGAAGATGGACCATCCTATCGTATAGATGTACCTCCGCATCTAAGGACATACCCTATCTTCCATGTGTCTAAGCTGCTACCCTATGTAGAAAGTGATAACTTTCCAAATAGGCCATCTATGTTTCCACCCTCTATAGATGGACGCTATGAAAGGACATTGGAACATGGTTATTTTTCTACACGTGCAAGAAGACGACGTCAGATGCAGTACAAGGTAAAGTTCAAGACCCAACCCCCATCTGAAGCCGAATGGTTTAGTAGGAAAGAACTCCTACCTACTGCTCCTGACATTGTTGCTGCATATGAGAATTAATGTATTTTATGTGATGGAACTCGAAAACTAGGCCCGCAAGAATGCAATAACCCATGCCATATGTCTCGTGGAAAGACCGAGGGCCAACTCGGCCGCCCTCGGCCCAGGCCAAAACGGGGGCAAAAAGGACCCCATACAAGGACTCAGGGCCTGGACGTGAGACAGTTGACTTTGGTCAGTTGTCGTGACCCCAACAGTCAAAGTCCAAAGGTACCTAGCCCAGGCCCCAGGTCAAGCACACACCCTTGCTTGTATACACGTACCCAGACAGCAACAGGTCCAAGGGAAAAGTTTGCAACTGCACAATCCGGGCCCTCAGCGGTGAGTCAATCTGGACGACTGTGGGGAAAACACCCGACGCCAGACAGCCTCCACAATTGCTACTTAAGGCTGGCCTCGAGTGAGTCAAGCATTCAGTCTTGCTATGCTGCTTTGACGCTGGGTCGAATTCGACTAGACGCTGGCAATATGCTGGCTTGACACTGGCTAGACGCTGGCTGTGCACTGGCGATGTGGACGACGGCACGAGCTGGAGGCAGCATGCTGGCACTTTCTGCATTGTGTGCCAGGCTTGCTGAGGTGGCATGTTGATGTGGCACTAACTCTGGTCTACATTGCATGCTGATGTGGTGCTACCTCTGGTCTAAATTCCATGCTGATGTGGCACTACCTCTGGTGTACATTGCATGCTGATGTGGCGCTACCTCTGCTCTACATTGCATGCTGATGTGGTGCTACCTCTGCTCTACATTGCATGCTGATGTGGTGCAACCTCTGCTCTACATTGCATGCTGATGTGGCGCTACCTCTGGTCTACATTGCATGCTGATGTGGCATTACCTCTGGTTTACAGTGCATGCTGATGTGGCGCTACTTCTGGTCTACATTGCATATTGATGTAGCGCTGCTACTGGACTACATTGCTGATGTGGCATATGCCACCTGTCTCGACTGTTGACATGGCATTATCCACGCTGTCTACATGAGGTGACTGGTTGCGAGGAGGAGGAAGATCGGGATCTGTGGATGAAGGAGATCGGGTACTCACCTGAGGCTGACGCCGTCACTGGAATCTGCTACGTCTTCATGGTCTTCACGAGATAAAGTGCCACGTGGCACTATTGTGTGTAATCAGGAATATACTTATTATCATTGTTGACCTAGAGAAGGAAGAAGCCCGGAGAAGGAGAGGGGTCTGAAGGGATTATTATTGTGAGATCTTTCATCTTCTCATCTGTCTGTTCCCCCTCCACTCTCTTCTTTTGATGGTAATGAGATACTGTATGAGAAATCACTTCACGATTTGGAGACCTTGATGCAGATAATGAGACTACTGATGTTTGATGACTTCTGAGTATCTGCCAGACTGGGTTCATTACACCACAAAGAAAGCAAAGTAAAATGTCAAGGAACGTGACATGCTCAAGGCAGTGAAACGACCATGGAGTGCATACATTACACAGTGCTCTGTGGATATCCAACCATTCCTCTGTTAAGCACAGAGCTACTGCAATGAACCTCTTAGTTCAACACCAGTGAGCGCACATATTCACACTGAAGACCAGAGACCAGATAACGCAACTAATGAATTCCAACAAGTTATACAAGAGCAATAAGAGTTCAAGTCACCAGCGCTCATCAGCGTATATCGAATGTAACCAGTAACCAGCATAAACTCTCAGGTATGTATCTCTTCCTCTCTGCTCTTCTCTCTCTTGCGTAACCCCTCTCCTTACTGGTCTTCTCTCTAGCTATGTCCTCGCTATATCTTCTCTTCCTACATGCATGCACACTCAGTGACTTCTACTCAAAGATCTACTCTGAATACACCCACTGATAAGCCTACTAACTATCTAAAGTCTACCACTAACACTCTGTGCTGGTGCAGCTATGGCTGCCTTCTCCCTGCCAGCGCTGTCTTCCTCTCTCTCTCTTTAGCGCAGCACTCTGACTTCAGCGCTCTGCCCCTCACATCAGCGCACAAGTGCACCAGCACTTCCACACTTCTTGCGAATGAGCAATCTGCCCGAATGGGAGGCTGGCCAGTCCTTTTATAGTCTTGGTTTGCACTTCAACTCATGCCAGCCTCTGTTTCTTGGGTCCTGACTGGTTCCGGTACCACATCCTGCTTCTGAATGTCAAGGCCTGGAACCTTCCCGAATTTCCATTGGACTGCTGCTGCTTGGGCCTTCGAGTCATGACTTTTCACTTGTGAACATGACTTTTGACTGTGGACAGTGACTCCTGCCTCTGGGTCACGACTCTTGCCTGTGGCACTGCCCTTTTACTCGTGGGATGCGACTCTTCAATATGACTTGTCATTATGAGACGTGACTCTTGCCCCTAAGATGTGACTGTTTGCCGGGTGCCTGTTGGACTGGACTGCTCAGGTACCCGACTGTGATTTTTCTGAATTCGACGAACTCGGCCTCTCTTGACCAGGGCTTCTGACCCTGAGACCCGAATTTGGGGTCTGAATCGTGGAAGGACTTTCACTAAAAAGAGCATATTTGCAATGGACATAAAAGTAGTGTGGAATACCTTGAATTGGCTACCAATGGACATAAACTTCGATGGTGCCTTTGCCCCCTCATCCAGTGGAAACAGTCCTGACACAAATGCACATTTCGATGCATGAAGCAGCTGCTGATGCTCGGGTACCACAAAGTCTTTATTCTTCTCCAAGAAAAGATCTGCCCTGTATTCCACCTGATCACATGGACCCATCAACAAAGCTACTGAATCAACTCATCGGCAGGAAGTAGCGCACCCACTCCAAGGTTGCACCACACTCAGACCACACATGCAAATATCCACCAGATCAATTCTGTTTTCTTGAATCTAGAAAGGAATTGAGGGTTGATCATTAGTCATAGCTCATAGTGCAAATTCGGTGCAGCATACGTTTTTTGAACGTCTTTCACATTTGCACATAACTTTAGGTTTTCTCAGTTTTCTACGATAACTCAAGTTGCAGGCAGCCTTTGCAATATCCGCCGCGAGGAACACACCTAACATGGCCTTTGCAATATCCGCAGAGAGGACCACACCTAACATGCCATAGTGAGAACACTCAGAACAATCATGCCTCAGGCTGTTCAATGTGCTATGTAGCCTGCATGCTCAAATGGTCTGCTGATGTATCATTCCAGAATGCAGAACATCAAGCTTCTGATGAACTGCCACGGACACGGTGACCTATTTCCAACCAGTTGATCATTTGCCAACCGATCACCATGAAAGCACGACTACACCTGTGTCTTCTCTCTTCTTCTCTCTAGTTTTGGGTATGTAGGAGAGGGCCACTAGAAGTAGGAAACCTCGCTACCAGACTACGTAAAATGAGAAGTGTCCGGCCAGCAAATCTATTGATTCTTACCCTAATTGCTCGTGTATCTCTCACTTAACTCACACCCTCTCAACAACATCCCTCGCCCCAGCAGCTTCTATGTCTAGACCCTCTTCACCACCTCAAGCCACCCACCTTTTTCTAGTGTGAATAACCAGGCCATTGTGTCCAAATCGCACCTGTCCTGCATAATGATCGATTGTGAATGCTGTTCTCTTAAACTTATGCTTCGAGAACCTTTTATGGTTATGGAAGGTGTCTCCCAGCTTCCTCGCAAACGACTCAGCTGTTGATCTTGGTAACATGCTGCCAGACAGAAAAGCACAAACAAAGGTTCAAGATGTCTCAATGCCAGTCCCTTTATCTGAAGGCACTCTGGAATATGCAATGAGCCTCTTAATTCAACATCATTGAGCGCACACAATCACACCACATGCATGTATGAGATCACACAAGGTTCACACCGGAGACCAGAGAGATGAAGACCATATAGCGCAGCTCAGAATTCCAACAAGTAATTTCAAGAGCAGTAAGAGTTCAAGTCACCAGCGCTCATCAGCGCATACCAGTAACCAGCATAAGCTCTCAGGTAAGTATCTCTTCCCCACTGCTCTTCTCTCTTATGAATTTCTTCTCCTCGTTGGTCTTCTCCCTAGTGTTCCATGCTGCGCCTGCAACAGGCGGCACGGGCCATTTCCAGGCCCGTGACATTTTCAGGCCAAAAGCCTGAAAACAAGGACCTACAGGCCCTGTGTCGTTTCAGCCTGAAAGCCTGAAAACAAGGGCCTACAGGCCTTGTGTCGTTTCAGGCTAAATCAGGGCATTTCCAGCCCTGAGTGTTTTCAGCCTGAAACTGAGGGCCATTTCCGGGCCCTCATCAGTTCGACCTGCCCTGAAACTCAGGCAACAAACCAGGGTTTTAGCATAGGCCATTTCGGGCCTGTTTTCAAGACAACCCCTGGTTGAGCTTCAACGCCAGGGTCTGGCACGTTTCAGCATTGGCAAGAGCAGCCTCCTGGACGGGCGAGCACTATATAAGACTGGCCCAGGTAGTTCCGAGGTACTTCCCAGGCACTTCACGTGCAGTTCAGGAGGCAGGAGGTAGTCTTCAGGATTCGGCAGCAGCACTTTGGAGGAGTGCTGGAGGAGTTGTAGTAGCGTTAGCAGTAGTCTTCAACGCTGGGCGCTAGTAGCGTTAGCTGTAGTCTTCAGCGCTGGGCACCATAGCAGTTAGAGTAGTACTACAGAGAGAGAGAGATTGGGCGGAGGCCAGAGGGACTTACCTGCAGCGCCATTGCTCCAGCTTCGTCTTCGAGGTACCTGCAGCACAGCGCCATCTTCACAGGTTAGTACCTGGCACATGAGAGAGAGAGTTCTTCTTCTTCCTCTTCTCAGTCCACCATCTCCTTCTCACCCTCTCGCTATCTGACTTCACTGCATCAGCAGACTATGAGGGAGAGAGAGAGAGCTTGGTGACATTTGGATCCAGACTCGACATTGGACTTCAGACATTTTGAAGAGGGATTATTTGGGACTTGTAACGAGACTTGGTGTTGACGACTTTCCCATCTCCCCCTTCCTCTTCTTCGTCTGATCCCCTCCTCTTCGTCTGTGTATGTCTGGACCTGGCGCCTCCTTCCTGTGTATAGCGCCAGGCCCCTTCACACCTTGCGATGAGCATGATGTATGTTTGATCTGCGATGCAACATTGATTGTGCTAGTCATTGGTATTCCAGCATTTTGCGGCGCTGTCTTTCACTACGTGGTAGAGGTCAGTCCCGGTCAGGTCAGGACTTGTATCTAAGTCTTCCCTGTGCTATAAAGCACCATTTTGTATGTATCAGAATGCGCATTGCTTGTTGAGATTCCACTTGCACTGCATTGTCCATTCAGTCCTTTTTATCACATTGTGGATCCTCGGTTTATACATACATCGCCCAACTGGGCATGTAACAGTTGGTATCGGAACACCGCACGTGAATCAGGACAACCTGATCTGACACGTGTGCAGGGACTAGGTTGCTTTAGTCTTGATTGATTGATTAGAGCACACTAGTTAGCCCCCAAAATCACGATTTTGACCTCGCTACCGAAAATCGATTTGTTTTCTTCTTTTCTTGGATTTTGTTTTCCCTGAAACGGTTTTCACCTGCTAGCAGTAGCGAATGCAGATCCCAGGGCTCGATCCCTAGTTCTGACCTTACCTGTGTACAGTATCGAGTTGACCCCTGAGTGTTTGAACCCGGGACCTGTGTTTTGTTAGTTGTTGTTTGTCTGTTGTAGGACTGTGCAGATGTAGGGATTCGATCTGTAGGTCTGTCGAGTAGGGGTCACAGCTCTGTAGAGGTCGTAGCTATAGGTCTACTGAAAGGTCAAGGTCGTAGCTGCCACAGCCCTGAAAGGTCAAGGTCTTAGCTGCTACAGTACCCGAAAGGCCAAGTCCACAGACTTCCAGAAGGTCCCGGAAGTGGCCTTTCGGAGTGGGCTCACGTTTAGGCAGAGGCAAGTGGGCAAGTGGTGGAGCCAACCCCAGTACGTTGGCAGTGCGACTGCAGTGAGTCTGCGGTGCAAACCCATGCAGTCAGCGGTACCGGTCCAGTCAGTCCCAGTCCAGTCCAGCAAGTACCATGAGGGACTGTGTGCACCATGGGCCGATGGAAAAGGGCAGACCAGCGAGTTACAGAAGCATAAATCAAGAGGCAGCGCCCAGCCATTCATTCATTCCTGCGTRAGCCATGCGGAAGCGCTGCCACAGCGACTTGTGCGAGGTGGTCTGCAGTAGGCCCGAAGATGAAGTGGGCGAGAAGGAGGTTAGCCGTAGCGATAGAGTAGCAGCAGCCATAGCTGCCATAGCTGAAGATGTGTGCGGGTGTGTGTGAGTGTACATAGTGTGTTGTGTGTGGGATATCCAGTGTGATCCTGTCTGCGAACAGCAGCATTGAATAAGTAACGAACAGAGAATTGTACAGGCTGTGTGCCGCCATAGCCGTTTGAAGTGAACTTGTATCTGAGCTGCGTTCTTGGTACTATATCTCTGAGTTCTGAGTGGGCGCTTGACGCCAGTTTGCTGCGCAACCTGTTTGCATACATGTGTGTGAATGAAAGCGAGTCTGATTTCACTGGTATCGGAGCTGGTACCCGCTATCCCACGTGCCACAGGGCGCCAAGTTGTAGAGCACCGTGAAGAGGGATGTCCGCCATAGCTGCGCTGCGGAGAAGTAACGTGTACCTGCGCATAAGAAAACCACGAAGAGTGAGAGAGAGAGAGAGAGAGAGAGAGAGAGAGAGAGAGAGAGAGAGAGAGAGAGAGAGAGAGAGAG